TTCAAATATGAACAACATAGCACATTCTCTAGCAAGTCCCTGGAAGAGCATAGCATTGCTCACAAAATACAGGCGTACTTTTCACCATTCACATGAAGATTCACCTCAAGACAATTCTACCTTCTAACACAAAAAGAAGAGCTACAGACCTATATATAAACCAAAATAATTTGCTACAGTTTAACCTTTAACACTCTAAGTAGCATCTCCTTCAGTTGCTATCTTTATTATCATTTTCGAAGCAGTTGACGCAGTTTTTGGTGAACACACACACAGACGCACACACCCAAAGAAAACCCCTTATATGTGCGTGTTCTCCAACTTCAGAGAAAGTCACGCACACTTCTTGTATGTCATTTCCCATTACAGTGAACGGGAAAATAACAGACTATTTGAAGATATGCTGTTGAAGGACAGATCACCGTGCGAGAGAAAGTCAATCTACCGTCCCGGAGGAAAGAGACACTTACCTCGTTTGTGAAGCCACCCTTCCTTCACTATTGCTACTTCATTCATAATGGCAGGAATGTCTCTTGAAAAAACAGTTTATGCCAAAAGATCACTCTGTTGAAATTCCTGAACCCCTGCAGAAGGCTCCACAAAAGGGATGGCGGGTTTTTTTCCGTTTTTCTCCTTCTCAGCTATTTCTAAAAGGATCAAAAGAAGAGTGCACCATCATTTTGAAGCAGGTCACATATGTACAGTAATACAGGGATACAATGGGGAGTAGTTTTCATTGCTACGTTGTTGGGTTGGGGTTTTTGTTATTATTATTACAAATGCTAAATGACAGCCTAGCTCTAGACAACGATTTTTATATCTCGGCGGGTGGAGGTGCCAAAATACATGCTTGCTAAAGTCCTACTTCTTCACTGAGCAGGCTGATCACGGGCAGACTCACACCACCACCAGACGCTGTCTGGATTGGAGGTGGATGCAAGAACTTGCACAGAAGACCTCCATCTCTCCAACACCACCTCACTCTCCACAACAATAAAAATTCTGAGATTTCACCAAGTCCAATTTTAATTATTTCCTGGTAAGAACACTTCCAGAACCTCTTCTGGAAGGTTTCTTTACAGCCTGATGAATAGCAGTCTATCAACTACTACACAGTGCATCTAAGAGATAAACCTCTGACAGTAAAAATTTCCAATACTCTACTTTAGATTTTCCTACCTTCAGCACCATCCTGTTAATCCCATTGAGATCTCCTCGACTCCCCAAAAAGTGTCTTCTCTATATTTATAACTCCTACGTCTCCAAGGGGTATACAAAGAATCTCAGATAAGCTCATGTACCTTTTTGTTATCCTAAATCAGCCCTTATAGCACCCTGATCAATTTTATTCCGCTTCCCTGAACGCACCGCAGTTTGCTGCTGTCTTTCTCGCAATGGAATACTCCTAAGTACAACTTAGGATTTTTACCCCTTTGCTTTATGAGATGAAATCCCTATCTAAATAGCTCAAAATTGCCGCATCTTATTGAAAATGTGTCTAGCTCGTGGCTGACTACCACAGAAATGTTCTTCGCATTTCTCTCCCTCATTGAAAGTAATCTCTTCCCAAATGCATTAGCTTTTATTATTTTTCTAAATTGAATCTGATTATTTTTCTGCTTGTGGTACAAATGTTCTCTGTTTATTTTTCTTCAGTGCCTTCTGTGCTCTCCAAAGTGTCCATATCACCATTCAATTTGGTATTGCTTGGCTGATCAAAAATGTAATTGGTGACAAATTCCCAGCAGTAACCAAGAAGTTTAATAAAACAAAACCCAGCAGCATTCGTAACCCGCCACCAAAGACCTGGCTTTTACTCCAACCACAGAGACATCTCATTCCCACCTAACAAATATATACTGTCTCTGCATGCATTTGGCACACACGCATCAATTATCTCCGAGCATGCAGCTGATGGCCATCCATCAGAAACTAGATTAAAAAGCAACTAATTCCCCATAACTCACTAAGACACAACCCTGGATGGAAGAAACAGGTGGTCAAAATTAATCCAACCTAGAACTGAAACCCCAGCAGGGACAGAGGGCTCTGTACTGTACATCATCAGTGCTCTGAAACAGGCAGCCTTCAAAGCAAGGAGGTCAAATTTGAACAAGTTCCATCACTGCCAGCAGAAATGGACTGGGACAAAGGAGGTCGCTCCCCTGATACTTTGCCTATGAACCTTCACTGTTTATTACTATTCCTCAGCTTTTCCAGTAACACTTTATTTTCTAGTTTTTCCCCAGAAACAAGGTGGTGGCTTGGTTTTTTTTTTCCAAACTACAAATCTGCCATATCTCACTGCTTATAATTATCAGCTCCAAGAAACAGGTAAGACATTTGCCTGAGGGAGGGAAAACACAGGAAAAATTACACTGGAACAAGAGACATGTAAGAATTCCTTAATTTCATAAATAAATGAGAACACCATATGCTGCAGAATAGAGACCAGTAACCCACAGCTGCCAGAGTTACCTTGGAACAAACTCCTTTAGCTCCACAGCAATTAGGATAGAATCCGATGAACACCACAGGCTTTAATTCTCCTTTCAAAACTGCATGCACAAGAGTCATGCCAGCTAGACTTACTTGTTGATGTCAAGATGGGACTAGACCTCGTTCAGAGGCTTCGTTTAAGCATCGAGCAGTTTGCAAAGTGTTGAACAAAACCCCTAAGATTACCACAGCTTACATCGGGAAATGCAACACCCAGGTGTTAAAGTTAACGCTTCTAATGTTGTGCCATAACAGAACGCAGGGACTGTGCAACCTACCTCTGCATCTTGAATTCAACGATTTAGCTGCATTGAAGAATCAATATCCTTTTCCATAACCATACGTAAAAAAGAAAGCTATGAGCCCAAATAGTCAGAAGGAAAATCCTATTATTAAAAACAGAAAGAAGCGCGAAGGCCCAAAATTATGCAATCTGCGGCTAACTTACTCCAGGTTTTTCTGGGTTAATGTTTGCCAAGATTACCACTTGGCAGCCTCCTGCTCATCACTGGCTAAACTGTCATCTCATAATCTGAATCTGAATGACAATATAGCCCAAAAAAGCAGATCAACAAAGAAATTCAAAGTTCAGAGGAACTACTTTTTCTGCTGTCTGTGGTGTCCAGAAAGTTTGGACTGCCTTTTGCCTACAATTTCTACCCAAGAAACACCCCCCCTTGCTACTGCAGCCCTGCTACCACGGATGTGTCTTTACGTGCCCATGTCCTTCAAGGGGAGAGGGGTAGTGAAGGAGGTAAGGGGGTATTATAAAGGAGCCATGCACAGAAGATGGAGTAGCACGGCACAACAAGGTGGAAAAACACTAAATATCCCCTGACACCAACCTGCAGCATGGGGTCCACCGTGGTCCTTCAATCAGCTATGCCAGAGGGGGAACTTAAGGTATTTTTAAGTTATTGTAAGGGGGAACTTAAGGTATTTTTTTCTTCACACTGCAAAGAGCTGGGGATCCCCTCTCCCTGTCCAACAACATGTCCATAGACATAGCTCCAACAGCAGCAAACCCGCTCTATCTGGTGTATTTTAAAACACATGTTCAAGCTGTGCCTAATACATCTATTTTAGCAAAAGACACTATTGAAGACAGTGGCAAGAAGTAAAAGTAGTTTCTCAGAATAGAAGAGCAAGTTAACTATAGGTCAACGTACTACTGAAGATGCATAAACCAGAGAAAGTTCCTTTTCCGTAAAATCCTTAGAGGGGGAAAAAAAAAAAAAAAAAGGAATGATTACAGTCCTCATTTATGGCCATCTAGGAATGGTTCCCAGTGAACAGAGGGCATCTGAGGTAAGTATGACCTGGCTGCTCCAGCCTGTGTCTGCACATGACTGAATACTGTCAAAAGCTAAACAACTCTGTCTTTCTCTCAGCCTTCTGTTTGCTTGTTTTTCCAAGATGCATTTCTGTAATACCTTTTTCAATATCAAAGTATTCCTCATGCAGCTGAAGTACGGTAAATCATGAATGGCATGACATCAGCATTGTATCACGGTGACGCTGGTTTTACACATATATTAATTCCTTAGAGATTATTAACTTCTTCATAAACAATGAGATAACTCACTTCCCTGGGCACTGCAGCAATGAAACCTGCTTTAAGGAGTCAGTCAAACCAACTGCCAACAGAAGATGGAGCAGAACCATCTTTTCTGTATTTGGGAGAGTCACGTTAGAGCTCCTTCTCTCATTCTCTTCCATTTATTATGCTCACCTTCTTTTGTCGCTACAAAATCAAGAGATGAATCTGTCCTCCTTGCCCTCTTCCCAAGGTGAAATTTTATATTCATTTCTACTCACACCGTAAAGCAGAGCAGGAAGAAAAGGAATTCTTCCGTAACACTGAAGCTGAAATCTAAACTTACGGGATGCAGGAGCATCTATGGTAATCACCACATCTTCATGAGGGAAAGTACGCAAGAGACTGAAGGAGGATCAGACCCATTGACCTCAGCCATGCTGCTGCCTCACCTGGCATGTTAAGACTGTGTCCAGGCTGTACTAGTTAGCCCAGATTAGAAAGCAGGTTACGGAAAAGCACGCTCCTGGACTAACACTTTGCCCATCACACCACCAGTTACCGATGCTCACTTCCCTGATGTGCCACAGTCCTGATACTCCCAGGACACCCTGAGCCCTAATGTGCTACACACCCTTACATGTTCTTATAACGCACAGCAGCAGCGCCAGGCAAAAAGGGATTCAGCTGCCCATGTTTGCCTACCTTGGCCACATGACACTGTCATGAGAGCAGACGAGATACACAGGAACTGGAGCAGGGCACAAAGGTGTGTGTTTGGGCCCGTTACATGGGATATCATGAGCAACCTAAGCTCTCTTCCCGCAGTAGATCCCAGCGTAAGCTCACAGCTGACAGCCAATTGCACCTGAACAGCACAGACACAACACAGTTGGCCTCCAACCAACACTTCAAGTGGAGCGTACAAATAGGTGTCCCCACCAGGCTTTGACCAGTGAAGTACATCTCCTGCATTACGCAAATCATGCCTTGGGTGTTTCGCAGGAGCAGCAGCGGTTCCAACGTGCTTAAGGCCCTCTAAGCCCGCAGTAGCTTCACACCATGACCCAGTTACCAAATCCAAGCAGGCAGTTTTCAAGAAAGCTTAGGAGGACCAGGTTGTTCCAGCATCTTAGCTTAGTTTACAAAAACGCATTTTTTGGCCGAGAGTTAGGTGCGGTCACTAGTATCTGCTACTATATGTTCTGTGTTGAATGACACCACATCTGAATTGGTATTTCGTGGCAGCAAGTGCAGCCTATCACAAGGTTCAGAAAGGCTTCTCTGATACTAAGCTACAGGGAAAATGCTACGGTGAGAACAAAAATCTCTGAAGCCACATCCACTTTCCTTTCAATCTGTTAGCCTAATCTATGTTTACAAAACTGTAATTTGAAAGAGTTATGCTCTCATGCCTTTGCTGATCAACAGACAGGAGGTTAATACTGTTCAGGTGAGGGGCCAGAGTTACAACATCCAGCTATCCAAGCTGCAACCACAAATATAGTTTGATAGGACAAACTAAGCTGCCTATTTCAAAAGTGAGTGATGGTAGAAAAGTGACTTCTTCATATCCTCTCTGTCAAAGACACAGCCCAGACAAAATCCTCT